AAAAAAAATAAATGAAATAAATTGTTCTCACCATTCCAAAAATAGTATTTTTATTTTAGAATACGAAGCGGATGGCCCTCATTCGAATCTCAACAGGGAGTTCTAAATTTGATTTGTTTTGGGGAGTTTTAGGGCTTTTTTCTACCCATTTGGCTCGACCTTATCGGAGCTGGACGATGAATTAGGAGGTTCTGCTTTTTAAATAATCTGTCAGTGTTGAAAGGTGTTAAACTTTTATAATTTCGCAAATTTCTCTTTTGGATAAAATCACTTTATATCTGATTCTAGCTTCTTTATAACCGTACTTCAGTTCATCGATGATACGTGTTCGGCAATTCTGACTTTAGAGATAATATTTAAAACAATTTACAGAAAAAGGTTTAAAAAAAGTTCTGTCCACTGTATACGCTTTTTCAAAGCCCATTTTAAACCCGTAACACATTTTCGACGGACAGTACTTCGCAAACGACAAATTCTCCATTTTTGAAAGCCTGCAATTTTTCTTTTTGGTGTTCCTCAGGATTACTTTGTGAGACGCGCCATGCAGAACCTGATCAATATGAGGAATCCCCGAGTGATGGAGCATCTCAGGTAAGGAAAAGTTGATGACTTTTAAAAAGTTATTTTTTCTTGTACAATTCGTGACCTTAGATTTATAAAGTTCTATCTAACGTTTTGGATGTTTTGATTACTAAGACCATGAGGCCGAAACCAAATGTTCTATCTGCTCTATCAAAATCGTAAGCTTGTTCGGAGTAGTTATCAAGATATTCAAAAAATTGCATTCTAAAAAGATTGACACGGTGTGAAACTGAAAAACTTTGGCTACTTTTTTACTTTCCCTCTTTTGTTTCTGTCTACCTGTCTAGTCTTATCTTCCGTACACTAATTGGCCGTTATTTTGTCGGTGTGCTTCTCTTTCCTCAAACTCAAACTCAGACTCAAATCAAACTCAAACTCACACACACACACACACACAAACACACACACACACACTCTCTCTCCCTCTCTCCCCCCCCCTACAACACTTATTTAATCCCCCCTCGACACGATTTCCTTATTTCCAGAAATGAGTCCAGCGAACTATTCGGCGAGGAGCTTTTGATGCGCTCCTACAGTGACCAGAACCTCCGCCACGAACCCATCTCCGATGACACGCTACTCTCTATGGCGGATGAGGCAGCAACGAAACTGGGTAAGGAATATCATTCTTCAACTTTCTCTCACCTTTTATTAGTCCTGACACCTCTTACTCTTTCTACTGCTACTACGCCTCATCCTACTGATACTACGCTTCCTCCTCCTCCTCCTC